TTTCTCCCTTTTGGACCATTTCAGACCGTTCTCTCTGGACTGTAGAGATGGTTTTTGTTGGAAAATCCCTGTAGGGGATAGGGATAGCTCAGTAGGTAAAGTGGTCGCCCCATGATCGGAAGGTCGGCGGTTCGAATCCACTTAACGGCTACCCTGAGGTACCCCTGAGCAAGGTACCGTCCCTACACACTGCTCCCCGGGCGCCTGCTTAGTGGGCTGCCCACTGCTTCACTGAGTGAATGGGTCAAATGCAGAGAAAAACAAGTAATTTCCCCATGGGGATCAATAAAGTATCCATTATTATTATTATTATTATTATTAGATCAGCACTTTCTGAAATACTCAGCCCAGCCTAGCTGACACCAACAACGGTACCACATTTAAAGTTATTTAAATCTTCTTTCTTCCCCATTCTGATGCTCGGCTGAAAAAAGCAGACATTTTATTCACTTAATTAACAGCTATTAACCACAGTAGAATACACTACACATAATTTATGTCACCCACATGCATCAGGTAATTATCTGGTAAATGATTAAGTTTAAAAAAAACCCTCTCAACTTGACTCCAGAGATGATATCTCTGTGTTGGTTATTTTGCTGCAGTCATTGTTTTTGAAGCAAAGAATTGTCTATGTTTGGGAATATGGGATAATAATTTTGATAAATGTACTTTAAGTGATAGAACCATATCTAACAGATGACTAAGACTTCTAAAATTATAGACCACATCTACAAAATTAAGATCCAGGTTAGAACATTTGTGTCCTGTTCTTCAGTGGTGGGGAAGTTAAATGGCTTGTTTTGCATAAAATTTAAAATGTTGCATATAAATGTTCATATATATGTTGTGATTGCATTAAAGGAATTTAAATGGCTAAATATACAGGACATAATTCCAAACTATTGATGTGCATAGTAGCATACTTTAAAACCCCCCATTTGCATGAGCTCTCTGGAATTAGAAAATGACTGTCAGAAGCTTTCATGGCATTACAGGCCACAGTGTCCATCATGCTGATCCATATCTCTATGAAGGGGTAAAAACAGGGCTCCATGGAAGAGCTCAGCTTTCTCTTCTAATTGAGCATTAGTGTCATTAATTTGAACTCACAAGCTAATGTTGCACTGGTCAGCGGTCATGACAATGATGTGCTCTTCCTAATGCACAGAGTAAAAGGACGTTTTACTGGACGTGGAATGGAGATTTAGAAGACGCGCACACATAGAGTCAGCAGGGTAGTAATCTCGTACATGACCAAGGTGAAAAGCAAAAGGAAATAGTTGCATTAGTGCATTAGTAAAGATACACCAATGTGTTTGGTGTTGCAGGTGGCCAAATCCCTTGGCATCTTGCAAAAAAACTGTCGGTCAAACTCAAAATGATTTCTCCTCCCGCCCTTTTCTGAAAACAGTCTTGTGGGAAATTTCAGCAAAATCTGAATTCATTTCATTTTCATCGGCTGAATTATTCGACTCTTTTTTTTTGTGTATATATATGTGTGTCTGTGTGTTTGTGTGATCATTTTTTTAAAAATTACATCCCTCTAAGATGTCATCGGAAGCAACTTAGTTGCATCTATTTGGTATTTAATCACATATGAGTCAGGAGGATATCAGAGAATTGGATCAATGGAGACAGACGAGGAACACTAATGTAAAAGGAAGCCATCTTGCACTTGACTGCGTTTGGTAAGTCAGCATCAGATTCATCAGCTAATGTGCGACTTATGTTAAAGAAACAGAGTTTCTGCTATTTGTGCAATCTTATTTAACAAATACATAGAGACTACAAGACTGAGAGGGATACAGCTGCTATGGGATGCTGCTCAGTATAAAGTAGAGACACTTTTAATGTTTGTTTTGGACTTTACCAGGGAAAATAAGTGGCTGTTTGTCTGTCTGGTATTTGGTGCAAGGAGCAAGTGTGCAATGGGCTTAAAGCACCTTTTTCAGTCACATCAGCTTTCTGTAGCTGCTGGGAACAGGTTAGTGAGTATATACCCAAAGTGTTAATACCATAATAATGAGTTGAGAAAGAATTATACTTGTTGATGTGCAAAAGCGTCTGATTGAAGAGCAACTTGCTATGGGACAGTTGGCCAAATAGAAGTGGAGGTGTAGGTATACTTTTGACCCTGTGTGGATTAGTTGTGTGCCCATTAAAGATGTCTGCTGTGCAATCATTCCACCCTGGAGAAAAGAACAGTTCAAAGAAGTGATTAAAAGCCCAAAGTTACCATTAAAGTGATGTCCATGATGAGTGGATATAACTGTGCCTTTATTAAACTTAGATTCGGAGTGTTTTTGTATATTTTTGTAAGAGAATCTACAGTTATTATCATTTAAAAACACGGAAATGATGTGTGCTAATGTAAAAACACATGACGGGCTCTTTGGAAGAGAAACCACACCCTAACTAGATACGCATTTCTCATACTAAAGCAGGTTGTAAACGTTAATGAAAATGTGAGTATGGATGCTGTTTTATTGTGTTTCTTAAATAGAGCTTCATAATTCTGTCTTTAAGTACCACATTTTGAAATGTGATCTCATCCATATGTAGTATTGAGGTTTATTCAACACACAATTGTGTGTTATGCTTTTGCAAAAAAATAGTTTTGTGTTAAAAATGAGCATGATCTGCAAATATATAAAGTTGCAGTGCACTGAAAAGTCAAATGAACGTTTAAATTTCCTGTTCATGAATTTTACAGCTGACACAGAAACTGTTTATTTTGACATCTTCACATCACTTACTGTAGATCTCACTCATTTATTAGTCACATTTTTAGTCTTTTTGCTGGATTTAAACACCGCGGTTACAGTGCAGTGCTTAGTGTAAGAGGGGAGCAATCATAAATCCCTTCGTGACCACCCTGACTTTCTGACATCTGATAGAGACACACACACACTTAATGAGATTCGACTGCCACCCTGCATGCTTACCTCAGCATGCATGTCATGGTTTATCTTCTCAGGTACACACACACACAAGCAAATGCTAATGAAATTCAGGAGCACTATTAGACTTGTAGATCAGCGGTATGGGTCACTTGCTCTGACTCACAATTTAATGGCGTCTTGGTGTCTCATACCACCAGATCACAGAGAACAGAAACAGAGGGAGCGAGAAGAGATAGCGATAGGAGGATTTAACGATAACACATAATTGATTTTTTTGATCTTGCACACTTGCAGTAAACACACACACTTGGTGAACCGAGCAGAGGGAGATCTGTGTGAGGATTTAGCAGTGTAAACACATTCTTCATGAGCGCTGATAATCCTGCCAAAGAGAAACAGAGAGCATCATTACTTCAGCTCATTGCCATCTCTCCAAACACACAGACACATATATCAGGGTTAACTACTTTCACCTATTCTCTTCGGTCTTCAGTGTATTGCTCAGCAAAGAGCAGACACAAAGGGTGCATCTCGAATTATTTATGCCGCAGTGAAAAGGAATACACCTCATTTTCTCTTTCCTTTTTCCTTCTGGATGGACCACACAGCTAGAGTGTGGTCCACCATCCATCACCCACCACACCCACCCGTCTCTTCCCTAACTCATCTTGTCTTCATCTGCCTCCTCCTCCTTCCTCCTCCTGGTCTTGGTCTTTCTGTATTTATACTTTCTCCCCTGTCTCTTCTGTATACACCATTCTTTCTCTCTATTTGTCTCTTTGTTCTTTTAGACTCTTTTTCTGCAGTCGCTGGGTTTTTGCTCAGTAACATTGCAGTGTTGTAAAGTGAGATGCACAGCTCGCCCCGAGTACCAGAGAATTTCCAAAACTTCTTTATCCGTGTTCAGAGCAAGAGCAACATAGCATGTGTCAGGACAGTGTGCTTTCCCTGACACATAAAAGGACAACTTGTAAAGCTAAAGTGTCATTAGTGCATGTTTTGTTATCCTCTAAATCCTCCCTCTCAGCCTTCATCCTTCTCGGCTTCACACAGCAGGAATCCTACCGCAAGTGTCCATCAGCAAAAAAAGTAGCAAACCTAATCTCCCCCTCCTCCCCCACCCTCAGAGGATGTACTTATTTCTAGATAAGGCACTTTTGCAAACTTTGGCCAAGAACCAAAAATATCTTCTGTGCTGTAGTTCCATCTGACAGATGAAAGAAGCATCGGCATATTTTAGTCTAGGAATTTCAACTTTCTTACTTTCTCCGCAGTGCTCCTCACAGGATGAGATTAAGCACTTTGCCTACTCTTCTCCATCCTCCCTTCTGTCAACCTTCTCCTCCGTCCTTCCTGATCTCCTGCTCTCCCTTTAGTCCCATTAGTCATGTCCTGATGGCTCATTAACTATTAAAGAGCAGAATGAGGGAAAGAGAGGAGAGGGGCATTCTGCAAGGCTTGCCTATAGTCATTTGGTAATGGATATCAGGGGGTGAGATAAGCGAGAAAGCAGGAGATGGGGGTGGAGCAAGTCCGTGGGGTCTCTTTTGCTCGTCTGATGATGAGTGGGAGTCATCAGGCAAAAAAGGAAGACAAGTTAGGCCTTTTAGTATGTTGCGTCCTTTGGGATGAGGGAAAAGCTCAGAAGCAGAACAGAAGCACATTTGTTTGCATAAAAAGCTTCAAAATATAACCATCTTCAGTCTTGGAGGCTTTTATTCATTCTTAATCAGACAGGCTGAAGAAGGCTTTCAGATAATCCACAAACACTGAACCCTTGTACTGATAAGTTCACCGAGGCCATTTGCTACTGTACTTTGGATTTATCATATGTTGCTGCCATCTAGTGGCTAAAAAAATCCTTCTTTGAAAGTTGGGGAGTTGTTGAACAAGTTTATAAAAATGTTAAAAATGTCAAAATACAGGTCAAAGAGAATGTTAGTGTCAGTTTGTTCTAATTGACATTGTTTAATTAACATATGTCAAACTAATGAAAGAGGTTAAAATCTTTAGAACAATGCACTTATCACATACAGAGCCTCAGACAGTCTGATACAGCTTTTTAACACTATGTGTGTGCATGTGTGTTTGCAGACTCTCTGATGCTGGGGACAGAGGTCGACCTGCAGCAGGTGGAGAACACTGTGTTTGCCATAGAGACTGTGTTCAAGGCATGGCTTCAAGAACAGGGTGGAGACAGAGAGCACCTTCACCTCTTGCTACCAAGCCCCATGGATAACCTGATTCCAGGTTAAAATCTACAGCCACACACAGAACTTGAACACACTGATGTTTTAGGAAGTCAGAAATGCATTACAGTTTATGACTTTAACAAATACATGAAAGAAAGAAAGGTTTTTAATGCACATAAATACAGCCACATGACAAATACAGTTTTCACATGACTCTGTGTAGTCGTGAAAAAGTACAAATTTACAGCTTCCATAGAAATTAAGAGGGTAAGTTGCAGCCAGATGCTGCTAATCAAATGCACTTCATTACCTGATCATAAGCAAGTGTGAGCATCTCATTAGGAGCAGAGGTTTTGGCAGCAGAAGCAATTGTTTCTTCTGTTGAAAACCCTTCCCAGTAGTAGATATCCCAGCATCTCCAAAGTGCTCAGAAGAACTCAGACTCTACAGACCTCAGTTAGTGTGTTAAATGTTAAAGTTCATGGCAGTACAATTAGAGAAAGCCTAAAAAACTGGGTTGCCTGGAGAAAGCCTCTTCTTTCTAAAAAGAACATGGCAGCATGGCTTAGGTTTGTAAAGCTACATCTGAACAGTGTGACTCTTGGAACAGTGTCCTTTGGACAAATGAGACTAAAGTTGAGATGTCTGGGCACCTTATAGTTACTGGGTTGACCACGAACTCCTCTGAATACAGAAGTATTCTAGAGTCCGATATGATCTACAGCAGAATAGCTGAAAAAGACAAGATTTAAAGTTTTTAAAGGCCTCAACCCGACCCGAGAGCAGTTTAGAAACAAATATCCATAAACCTCAATGAACTGAAGCAACATTATAAAGAAGAGTTGGCCATTCATCAACAAACACCCTAGACTGGTCACCAGTCTGTCACACAGAGACAAACCATTTGGACTCACTTTCTCACCTATGGGGAACTTAGAATTTCTACAGTTCTAAGTTCTACAAACTACTGAATCATGGCGTGTACTTTGTTTTTAACATGACTGCATGTTTCTGTTGCATGTGCAGTGTGCGTGAAGTGTGACATGCAGGAGCGCATGATAAGCCCGGCGCTCATCCCGCTGACCCCGAACCTGGGAGTGAAGACTGAGAGCATTCGGGACTTCCTGCCTGGCCCTAAGGGCTTGGCCAATCAAAGCCCAGCACCGCAGACACTGAAAGTGATCAAGTAAGCGTGGGCATCGATGCTGAGGGCCTTCGAACTATAAGCACAAATAAAAGTTTTTAGGATCAGCTCACAATCACTTTGTTAGGAGAAAGGAAGACTTGTGTGTGCAAGATCCAATAACACGCGTTCTCTGAATGCACAGCTCCTTTGTTTGACTTGGGAGCATCTGAGTGCACTTTGTTCTGCTGGAGTTAGTGCTCCGAGGCTGTAAAAGCAATATGAGCACAAAGTTCAGTCGCTTTTGTAAGGAATTTTGTTGGCCTCGTAAATGTACAATCAGCATGATGGACGAGGAAACCAGAAGATAAAATATATTCCAGAGGACAGGAAAATGCTCATCGTAAAAGTCTGACAAATGAATAAAATCTTTCATACCAATCACAAAACAAATATGGAGAGTTTTACAAGCTTGTAGGTCAAAAATAGCCTCTGTGGACAGTGTCATACAAAAAATGAGCTACATTTGCTTCCTACAAAACAAACTCGTCATGTTATTTTAAACCTCACAGGGATTGTGGACACATGAACTGAATGTAGCGCAGTACATTTTCACTTTCTTCTCTTTCCTACCTGTCAGTAGAGGAATGTGTACGTGCCATTTTTTTCTCACAAACTCATGCAGTGCACTGAAGATTGTTTCATGGGCCAGCGCAAGGCCAGTTGCAGACACACTGGTGGTCCTGTGCTGGCCCATGTGTGGGCCACCTCTGACAATCCTGATCTGGACCACCAAAGGGCCGTCACTCTTTCCGGTATGTAATGTGTAGGTTGTGTGCAGCCACGGGCCAGTTGCAGACACACTGCTGGCCCTGTGCTGGCCCATATGTCAGCCTAATGTGTACCTTAATCAAGCCATGTAATAACAACATGTGCCGGAACATAATAGTGCAAAAGTAACATGAAAAACCCTGTTTAGACAAGGAATGTACTGACTCTTTCGTAGTGCTTTTCTACTCTCCCAGATTACTTAAAGTGCTCTATACAACATTCACACACTTTCTCTAAACTGAGCGCTTCCTAACTGCATTCATACTCTTGACATGCGGACTGGAGAAGCCAGGGATCAAACTACTAACCTTCCGATCAGTAGGTGACCTGCTCTACCTCCCGAGCTACAGCCACCCACTGGCAAAGATGAGTGTCATGGTCCTGGGTCGTGCGACCCAGTGTTTTGTGTTTAGTCTATTTTGATGTTTATTGTTTGTTTAGATTCATTAAGTTATTCCAGCTCATTTGTAATTATATGACCCTTGTATTAAGCCTCCCTTGCCCTTCATGTGTTTATGTCTGTGTGTCTTGTGTTGTCAAGTTCATGCTGTCGCTTCTGTCATCTTCCCCTGTACTCCGTCTCCCTGGTTCGTGCGTCTACCTGTCATGAGTCATGTCTGCGTGGTTATGTTTAGTTCATGTCATGTCTAATCTCCATGTTTCCTGTTTTACTTTGAAAGTCTGTATTCAAGGTCAGTGTATTTAGTTTCACCTCTCCTGTCCTGTCGTTAGGTTCATGTGTGTCAGCTGTGCTCCCATGTGTGGCCACTTCCCCTGATCATCCCTCTTGTGTATTTAGTCTCTGTGTTTCATGTAGTCTGTGTCGCGTCGTCTGTGTTCCCACCCTCCGTGTTTCCATGCCCAGTCTTTTGTATTCCAAGCCATAGCCTTACCATAGTTTGTTCCCAGTTTAGGTTTCTGTTTAGTTACTGCTCTTGTGCTGCCCTCATTCTTGTTTGTTTCTTTTGTGTTCATCAGCCACAATAAAAGGCTCGCTTTTGTTTAAAGTTCACTCTCGTATCCTCACTTGTGTCTGCACCTGAGTCCTCCTCACACTCTCCACACGGTCTGCCACTGTGGACCGTGACAGATGAGTAAACCGTCACTAGGTTTTGGATAAAGTGTACAGTCACAAACCTGTCAAACCTTATTTTGAAACGTTGGCTACTATAGCAGTATTGCAACATGGCATTTGGTTCTTCTAATTAAAATAGGAAAATAGGAACATAAATAGTGCAATCATTGCCAGACCTGGCCCACATCTGGATTGACATACACCCTGCTGTGACACCAGTTAGTCAGAAGTGCCAGCTTGTTGCCAAGTCTGGCCCAGACTTGTTTTCTATGAGCCTGGGCCACATAAACCAAACCACAATCGAGCCAGATATGGCATGCCATCACATAGACATTGCCATCTATGCCGGGCCTGGCCCATATCTGGATGACATACGTCTTATCATGCCAGAAGTCAACCAGCAGTGCCGGCTTGATACCAGATCCGGGCCAGACCTGCCTGCTGTGTGGGGTGGTAATGTTTTCATGCAGTTGAGGTAATGCTGAATTTATTTCCAACTCGGTGAACAGCTGATGTAATTTTTCCCTAAATGCGCACACGCATGCTACACACACGCTAATGATAGAAAGCAGGCGCTGAGGTAGAAACTTGATTTGCATTTGTTTTACATTTTCAGGACCTACAGTAGGAAGTAATGTGCGTTTGTGTGAACGAATGGGCATTCGTTTTGCATACCAGACGGTTGGAAAATTGTGCTGTTTATGTACTTGAGTTAGAAAATGGGTCACACTGCAAACGCACCTCAGCAGGGATGATGTCATTCTCTCTGCTCATGATGTTTTCCATATATTTGCATACTTACAGTTTTCTGCTGGAGCTCATTTCAGAAATGAAAAGGATTTCATTGTTTTTTCCATTGTAGGCGTGTGTGTGTGTGTGTCTTTCAGAGTTCTGCGTGCAGACGGAGTGTGTGAGAGTGTGTTGTACGGCCTTCCGCTGGTGATCCGCCCAACCACCTGCTGGCAGCTGGACTGGGATGAAATGGAGAACAACCAGAACTTGTTCCATGCCCTCTGCCACACACTCAGGGTGTAGTTTCTGTTTTTTCATCTTGTGACAATTGTCTTTATTAAGAGAAACTGACATTTTATGGCCGCATGTGATGCAGAAGTAAAACCCATTTGACCAGTCTACATGAAAGAATTTGCATAATGCAAATCTGGTTCCCGTTTTAGCGAATGTGGGAACGTGGGAGTCATGGTAGAATAGAGCAATCATATTCATGTTTGTGCTTTTGTTTGACGGTTGTGATTCTCAACTCATACAAACCAACACCAAAAACACTGGAAAGTTGTGCGAATTCAAGTACAAATAAAATGCAGTGGTTTGTAAATTTCATAAATCCATATTTTGTTTACAGCAGAACATAGTAAACATATCAAACAGAGAAAATGTGCCAGTTTAAGAACAGTATTAAATAATCTTGTGGTTTATGGTAGTAACACATCTCAACAAATTGGGACAGCTCCATGTTCAGCACTAAAAAGCATCGCCTATTTGTTTAACAACAGGTTTTTTTACCCCTCGGCTATAAAGGGCTGATGGAGTATTGACATCAGTCTGCTGGGGGGGGGTGCAGAGGTCACATTTTCTGAAAATGCGATTTCTTGAATGTGATTGATTGATCATACTTTATTCATCCTGAGGGAAATTGGGTTAAGGCTGCCAGCCGTGCCAGCGCCGTCTTACTTAAGAACGAGGTGACAGAGGACTTTCAAATTGATAGCTCAGGTGGATCTACTTAAAAATCTCAGACATGTTAGAGGTCAGAGGTCAACTTTTCTGAAAATCATCTAGAATTTTTAATTGTTACCAAAGGTGCATCTAGGGTTAGAGGTGGCGGGTATTTTTAACTGTCTGCAAGCTGCAGAGACCGGTTGCTTCACATGTTGTCCCGTTCTTGTCTGATAAAGGATTCTAGCTACTCAGCAGTCCCACGTCTTCTTGTTGTATTTTCATTTCATGTTTTCAACTGGTGAAAGGTCTGGACTGGTGGCAAGGCAGTTCAGCACCCAGACTCTTCTGCTGCGAAGCCATGCTGTTGGATTAGCTGCAGCATGTGATTTAACATTGGCTGAAAATATGACTGAAATATGCAAGACTTTTTAAAATGATAATGATGATAACAAGCTGTCAGGTCTCTGCTCTTTAGTCTGGATGATGTAGCTTTTTTTCCCCAAAGGAATTTCACAATAAATTCATCTGACCACACGACAGTTGTCCATTTTAGCTTTAACCCAGAGAAGAGGTTTCTGGATCATGTTCACATACTGCGCAACTTCTTCTCTGCATGATAGAGACAGGAAGGGAATTTGTGGACGACTCAGTGAACTTTCTGGAAGTGTCCCTAAGCCCATGTAGTCAAACATAATCATAAAGAGCTGGTACCGGTATGTCCTAATGCATAAAAGCTCAGAAATGAAACTGTGTACTTTATATTTACATGATTCTGAGTATCTGTAAATAAGAGCCACATTGAGCCTTTTTCTGTATTTGGATTCCAACTTTACCTCAGATATAATGGCTTATATCCCTCAACTTTAATACTTCTTTGGTTCCCTATATTAATGTAACTGGTGCTAATACACTACTGAAGTTAATGTATCTGCTTCTGCTTCTGTTTTTAACACAGTGCTGCCCGAGAGCCCAAAGATCACAGGCATACAATGTGGATTTTCAGCCTTGTCACTTGCACACAGAGATTTCTCCAGATTCTCCGAATCATTTGATGATATAATGTACTGTATATTATTGATGAGATGTTCAAAGACTTCCCAATTTTAATGTTGAGGCTTGTTATTCTGAAAGCAATCCCCGCTTTGTAGATGCAGTTTTTTTGCAGAAAGGCGAACGTTTGTCCATCTTTACATCTAAGAAACTCGGGCTCTCTAACGTGCTCTTTCTCTGTTTCCAGTTAATATAAATAGTTCCAAAATGTTCCTCCAGCTGTTTTTCAGTAACACTTTTCCAGTCTTTTTGTTGCCCTGTTTTTGAGATGTGTTGCTGCCATTAAATTCAAATGTTCTCTGTTGTTTTTTTCATGAAATAGTCAAATGTCCCAATTTGAACATTTGCTGTGTTTAAGATATGTTTACATTTTACACAGCATCCCAGTGTTTCTGCAGTAATAACATAGCATAAAATTGTTTGGACCGTTTGATCGTCTTTTCATTTTAGCTTGTCAGCCTTGCAAGATTCTGCATATCCCTCCACGGTTCGAAAAGTTTTTGATTTCTCTCTTTCAGAGTCGTGACCTGTTCCTGCTGCTGCAGGTGGAGCCGGCTCAGAAGTCTGCAGCTGGAGCCTCAGGTCCATGTGTGTATTTGTGTTTATGTTTATGTGTGAGAGAGATGACTGTTTATCAAGGTCATTCGTGAACAATCATAGGCCGCGTGTATGTGTCCAACACAGGTGTGTATTCCCACTACATCCTCCAGCCATCTCCATCTCTGTCCCTGCTGCTGAAGCCTGTGGTCTCCAGAGAGTTGCTGCTGCCGTGCTCACAGCTGGTCTCGGCTCAGGACCCTGCACATCACGCCATGCAGACTATACAGGTTAGATGAGCTCCGGTTGCTCTAAACAATTTAGAGAAGTAGATAGAGACACTGAGAACCTCAAAGCAGAAGTTGATGATTCAACTTCAGTAATCTATCAGCACTGGTTACCTTTACATTAATACAAGGCAAGCTGTGAGCCAAGTTAGACAGACATCCTCACATCTGAATCTACAATACTTTGGCATACAGAGGTGTTCATGGTCAACTCTGTGATTGCAAGCTGCCCGGGTCTTGTGCCTGCAAAGCGAGCCTAAATCATCACGCCTCCATCTCCATGGTGAAAGCTGATATGAGGGGACACTGTGCATTGTGGCCAAACATCTCCACTTGGTTCTCACCTGTCCAAAGCTGTGCTGTTCTTTTTAGGGAGAAAATGCCTTCTTATGACAGCCTTTACAAATAAGCCGCACTTGTTCAGTCTTTTCTAATTGTACTATCATGAACTTTAACATTTATCATGCTAACTCAGGCCCATAGATTCTGATGCAGCTCTAAGAGTTACATCTTCTTCAGGTGGATTTGCTGCAACGTCCCCTCAATGGAGGATTTCGGTATCATGTTAACACTCGCCTGAATGACCAGTTAACCTTTTAAAGACTGAACCATGGAATCATCATACAATTCTATTTGTATATACCTGGAACTAAGGACCACACCATTTGTTTATATGTCTTCTTCTTCTTTCACCTGTTGGATCACATACCCATCAATCACTTTCTCTAGCATCCTCTTGTGTCACTCCAGCCTTCTTCATGTCCTCCTTCACCACATCCATGAATCTTCTCTGAGGGTTTCCTCATTTCCTCCTGCCGGGCAGCTCCATCCACATCAGCACTGTCTCACTGTCCTCATGTCGCACCCTCACCATTGCCATTTCTTGCTTCCTTCTCTTCTTCCTTCAAAATTCTAAAAATTTTGTACCCTAGAAATCATGTTAAACAATCTGGTTAAAAAGTGCCCTGCTCTCTTTCACAGACATCTCCACCTTGACAGGTAGGTCTTCTGGACCAACCACCTTTCCACTCATTCTCTTCATAGCTGCCCTCACTTCCTCCTTTCTAATCTGCACTTTGTGACCAACTGTCTTCCATCTGTCTTCCTCTCTCTTACATTTCCTACACCCATCAGTTCCTCAAAATTACTTCTTCCATCTTGTCAACACACTCTCTTCACTCATTAGCACATTTCCATCTTTATCTTTTTTCCACCTCGGTCTCTCTATAACCAACTGACAAAAGGCCCTCTTTTTTCCTTCTTTTAGCATCTAGTCTCACAAACAACTCACTGTAAGCATTTTCCTTTTCCTTTGCCACCTTTCTCTTTGCCGTATACTCCCACTATTCCTGTCTACTTTCTTCCTTTCCCTGTTCCTTCGAACACTTTCCTCACATTATCACTTGCGCCCTGATATTAAAGAATTATAATAGTAATTTCATATTATGACCTTTACTTAAACTGCACACTCATCATCGCGAAGGCGAAGCACGCAAAGTTTCGATGACGTCTCAGGATGACGCTTCTGTGAATGTGATGATGACAGTATTAGACGTCATGTGTATTTTTGACAGGACATTACAGGACACGGTGCCTCGTCATTTACTGTGACTCACTTTTTTATTCTGAGTACTCGCTAAAGGTCGAAACAGGTCGCAGTTGAAATATTCAAATGATACTCGTGTGCCTTCTGTCTCTGTCAGAGCTGTCTCACTCAGCTGGATGAGGAGTTTGTTTTAAACCCTCTCACCCTGAGCAGTAACCTCTACCAGCACCTCAGGAGCCGAGGCCTGCTCTCCCAGCCACGATACCCATACAGGTCAGCAACACGGGAGGATCATGATGAGTCTGTGATGATATTTATAGAGATGATCAAAGCTCTAATTTAAAGAATGACGTGATCAGTGCCGTTAGTGAAGATGTAGCTAAGTGAAGGTGATTGTAACCACAAGCTGTTGCCAATGATAAAGAAGCTTATTAAGAAGATTATGTTCAGGTTACAGATATATGTTAAGGAGATGATACTGAGGAGCTAAGCTGTTTGTGTTCCCAGGATTCAGCCACCACAGGAGGGCCCTAAAAGCACAGGCAGCAGACAGCCACGGCAGGTAAACACAGCAGCTTTATGACAGTCTGAAGGTCACTCTGCGATGCTTATATATAAGATGGGGGAAGTTTATGGTTCAAGAGCCATTTGACCGCATTCTGATTAACCACATTAAACATCTTTCTGTGGAGCGTGTGCTTTAGTAATGCCCTTCAGCCTCACGTCCTCATTTGATCACTAGATGGCAGCACTCGCTGCAGTCAGACACAAACAAGCCTTTTGGACAAAAACGTGAAAATAAACATGAGAATGAAAAATGTGAAGTAAAGCAACATAATCCAATAAAACAACCGCATTGTTGTTTGGAGGCAGCGATTGAGGACGAGCAGATGTCCGAGTTAAAGCAAACAGATAAAGGTGTTGTGCGAGCGTGCCCTCCGGAGGCAGTTTAGATAATCGGGCATTATTGGTGCACTCGGTTGAGCTGGAACTAGTTTTAACTGCTCAGTTTGTAGCCAGGTAGTCGTAAACTAGAGGTCAGCCAGTCTCAAACACTCTGAGGGTATTGTTTTTGTAAACTGTTGTGTGATGTCAGCAGTTTTGTTTGAATGGGAGCATCTGAGAGATGTATGAAAGCTGTCAGATAATGTGAGAATGCTAAGTAAAAACAATCACAGGTTTTTAAAGGAGGCCACAAAGTGAACTTGTGGTTAATGTTTAATGGTGCTTTGTGTTTTATAATCTTATCATGTCCTGGAAAGAAACTAGAAACTAAAAGTGCCAGATAAAAGTTTGCGAAATAAACATTTAAGCAGCTTCAGTGCCTAAAGTATCACAAGAATAATTTTGGATGCATATGAAGTCAGAAGTTTAGTTAAAACCTAAAAGTTAAATTTTATTTCAGGAAGTGGTTAAGTTACCTCATTGAGTCTGAGGATTACTGCGTTTCTGATGTGAAACAACGATAGTGTAGTGAATCATTCTTCAGTTTTATTTTAGAGTTTTCAAAGTGAGTCATAAACTCTGATTAAACGAGCACACAGTCTGTGCTGTGGTGCTTTCTGATACTCTACAATGTTGTCAAAGATAGCACTTTTGAGATGAAGTGGTTTTATATCACAAGGGCTTCTTCTAAAAGGTTCAGACTTTCCAGAAGATCATTCGACTCGAGGTTTGTCTGGTGTTTTGAATGTATCGCTGCTGTGGTGGCATCCTATTGGGTTTTTTTACTGTAATTCCAGACCAATATTCAGTGCTTCGGAGTATATTCCGAGTATTTTCTAGTAGAGTGTAGTATTTCCTGTGGATTTCACAGGCAGTGTATCGCTCGTGAACTTTCACCCTAATGTTTTTTTTTATGTATTCCCATCAACTGAGGCCTGCTGTGTCCTGAGGGTGTATAGCTGTTGGCAGGGTGACTCATCGGGGCTGATAAGGCTGCTCACATGCAAATAGTTCACTTCAGTGGGAAAACGCAGGGAAAGTGTTTATTCGCTCTGTTCTGTGGCGAGCTGTCACTCCAGCTGACCTCAGACTTAAAGTCCAAACATAATGTTCCTTTTTGCTGCGTTCACATGTCCTTCCTCCCAACTCCTTCACATCCTCCTCTTCCACTCTTTCATCTCCCGTTTTCTACAAGAAAGTGATCTTGAGTTTGAAATTCAGAATGTGTGTGTGTGTGTGTCGCCTCCATTCAGCTACAAAACTACAGTCGCCAACTGGGAATGAACAACAAGGTCAGGGCCACCGTTGCTCCGCTACCCTCCTCCTCCGCCGCCTCCTCTTCCTCCTCGCTGGGACCTCCTCCCAGCAAGGCCTCCCGCCCAGCTCTGAACTTCCTCAGCAGCAGCAGCAGTGGCAGCAGTCGGGCCCCTACCCGGCAAGAGGGAAACGATGATGATGATGATGATAACTCTGTGCTAATACAGTAAGAGTGCTGCAGGGTTAGTAGCAGAAAGTGAGGAAAAGTCCATTGTTGCACACTTCAAAGGGGTTCCAGTGGAATTAGCGCACCTGCAAATATATAGGCCCTCACACACACACACACACACACACACATATTTGGCTAATTGGTCTCCACTGTAAAGCTGGTGAGCAATCAGGCAGCTCATAAAGGCTTTAAAGAAAGGAAGAGACAAGCTAATTTGCACGTAAATGCACACAGGAGGCCGTGCAACACGCTGCGAGCACACTTACTCTGCACTGCACTCTGGGTGGTTCTTCTGACACTTTCTTTCATCTCTATTTATTCTCACCGCTCGCTCGAACAATATTAGTTAGATCTGAATTTAACAAGCCTCCGTCGCTGCATTTGCAAGCATGTGCGTGTATGTGTGCGAGTGTGAATGTGAGAAAGGAAAGTTTCAGCTCGCTGCCATGTGCAGATTGCTGAGTTAGCAAAACGTCAAAATCACACACCGTAAACAATGAAAAAGAAAAAAGCAGGATAAAAGATGAAAAGAAGGGAAGCGGCAGGACAATGAAAGCCTTAAACAGTCACCCAAAAAAAATGGGGGGAAGTAATAAGAAGTTGCAAAAAAAAAGAACAAACGTGGGTGGTGTGTGGGAGATCAGAGGAAGATTAAAAGCTGATGGATGTATAAAAAGCAGTGTCTGCGCGCTACAGCACGCACGCTGGCACGCACAGCTTTAAGTCAAAAGGAAACTAGCTACAAAACTACAATTGATGCATAATAAACGAGACGTGCTGCATAAAGACTTATAGCGCGCACACATGCACATTCCATCTTGAGCTCCCGTTCGAACACAGCTTCACTGTTTCAACGAGCCAGAGACAGAGAGGCCTCTCTGCTCGCCTTTACCCCCGCCGCCAGCTCTCTCTCAGAGGGTTTAAAGGCAGCGTGAGGGGGAGGAGGGTGGATGGAAGAAAACTGATAAAATCTCCAGTGTGTTCTGTGAAAACGTGAATATGACAACTTTGCATTGGAAAAAAACACTCCGTTGTGTCTGCGAGTGAGTGTGTGTGAGGCGATTTGAAGTTATTACATCACTGCTGGTTTGTGCACAGTTTTATATTTACACCCCGACAGTGATTCACATTCACACATTAGTTACGTTTGTCCGTCGTCACTGTTATGAATTCCTTTCCCGTGAATGAGCCTTGTCACACATAAGTTTAATGAGTCTCCCGCCATTCCACCCCCTTACTGAACCTTATAACATTTGGCACATCCCAGTGGCCAGTGACTTCATGACGTTGTGATGTCACACTACTTCCGCATTCACGACGACAACGATGCTTTTGTCTCTGAGAAGAATTCACCCGGACCTTCAAAACTAGCCACTAACATTTTCCCCACTTCCCCCCCTCTCTCTCTCTCTCTCTCCCCCGTCGCTTCTTCACTCTCGCTCTTCACTTTCTTTTTGATTCTCACGAGCGCTGGAGAGCTGAGTCAACTGGTGTGAATTTCATAAATTTGTTCAGATGCAACGACAGCAGTCCCTCTGTCCCCGGAGAGGTCAGAAGGCTAGAGCCGGAGCTCTTCTGCGTGACCTGCACACTGTTAGACACACTCCTCATTAAATGTCACAACTGTTACAGATAAATGTGATATTACCAGAAACTGACAAAAGTTCAATTGTTTTTGAAATTGCAGGAAGTTTAACAGTGTCCCGCTTGTCAGGTGACTTTTTCGATTCTTCGCTCTAAAGCAAAAGGTCTTCTCTGAAAAATGTTTTGCATTTCTCGTTGTTCTTTTTTTCCTCATCTCACAGTGTTAATTCAATCGTGTTCCTGTTCAGCTTTCTTTCATATATATGAGGTGTATGTATATATATATATATATATATATATATATATATATATATATATATATATATATATATACACACACACACATGTATAAACCTGTATCTGATTTGTTCATCTGCTGTGGAATAATAAAATGCCAGTTTGTGGGCGGATGATTGCAGTAACATTTCTGTAGCATAAGGTGCTGATAGTAGAAGAAGGGCACCTAACCGCCTTTAACCTTTTACCTCCCACAGGTTTCCCTGCACATTAATAACATTATTGAGTTTCCCAAGGATGAGAGCAGAATGAAAAGGCGTATAAATATGAAACTGTTGCATTTATTATTATTTAATGATTGATTGTCTTTGTCATCTTCATCATTATCGCTTAAAAAACTCCACCGCACAATTAAGTGCATCCAGTGTGTAACTAAAACCCTAAAAACGCTTTTCGTTTTAAGCCATTCACCTATTGAAATTAACCTTTTTAAAAGTGCAGTATGCACCTTATCCTTACTCGTGAGCTCTGGGTCTTAACTGGTGCTACTTTTGTTTTGTCATCGATATTTCTTTAATTTCTGTGGTATGTGACAAAGGAAGCAGCTGGGTTTTTTGTCTACTATCACCAGACATCACTAGTAGGTGAGGACAGGACATTGAAAATAGTGTGCTAAGCAATAAACCAATCCTGCCCAAATCCTGCTCTCAAGTGGTCTGTTGTCAGGAGCTTTACCCATCGTTACATATAATGTTTCTTTCACCACCTTTTCTCCAACACAAAACACACAGTGGAATGTAACCTGACACGCTCCTCGACTTGTCCAAAAAGGAGGGGGGGGGGATAGAGGTAGAATATTATATATATAACATATACCTTAGGTGAATGTGCAGTAGTAGCATCTATGCTGTAGTAGCAGTAGCATGTGGTGATAGTGGGAAGGAAAAACTCCTTTTTAAAAGGAAAAACCTCCAGCAGAACCAGGCTCCAGGAGGGGCCGCCATGACCGGGTGGAGGTAAAGGAGACAGGTGAAAACTAAATGCTGAGTGGTGTATAAACAGGTGCGTGAAGAAGAAATACTAATGGGTGCGTCATGGGAAGCAGCCTAGGCCTATTGCAGTGTACCTAAGGGAGGATACAGTATCACCTAATGTTGTATGGTGATATGGTACTGTGAGGTCTTTAGGATAAGATCTGGCCTGATTGTTCAAGACCTTGTAAAACACTTTTAGCTACAAACTAGCATTACATGTGGTTAGTTACTGGAGTTAACTGGTTAGCATATTTATTTCAACACACACACAAACGTCTTTAGACCTAAGCTGTTAACGCTCCACACAAAGAATGAACTTTGGTCTGCAGAGAATATTTGTTGGGTTTGGTGGTTAATTCCCACATTCTGTTATTTTCTTCAGACTAATAATCATACACGCTGACATCTCTCACAGACTGTTACTGTTAACAGAAAAGATAGTGATTATATAGGAACCGACAAACATTCAGCAAGGGTGCTTCACAGTAAAACTTCTCTATTTGTTACCGAGCACGAAGTGATATTTTGAGAAGCGATGGTGTGTGCAAGTCTCTGTGTTGCTTTTGTAAGCTTAATTTACTTTATTTATTTGTTTGTTTTTTTAAGCGTAGGAAGCTACTTTCTGCCACTGTTATTTTTAGTAGTGTCTATTTAACCTTTTTGGTAACGCTTATTGCTCAAGAACAGACTAAATCATTGTTTTTAGCAAGATGAATATAGACAAGATTAAATTCTCCAGAAGTATTGGTTAAAGTTATAAAATAAAATAAAATGTTAGCTTTTATTTGTTTTCACGTCAAAGCTGCACCATCAATAGTGTCATTAGCAATGCATCGTCACCTTGCAGAAACCATATTGGAAAACTTCATGTCAAAGTTATTCATTCTAATAACTTCTAAAAGGGTGGTGTTTTGTTTTGGTTTGGGGTTTTTGGGGGACGTAATTCGCAGACGTGTCTGTGCATAGAACTAAACTCGATAATTCTGAGCCGCGTAAAAAGGCTTTTGTGGTTCAGCTGTCTAAAAATGCGGTTGTATTCTTTTTTGTGCCATCTATATCTGAGTCAGGATAATATTAGTGCTTTGACTTCCTGCTTTATGCTCAATGTTCCATTTCCTTTTTTGCTGCAATCTGCAGAGCACAAAAAAAAACATGCATCAGACTCTCTGTCTGTCCCACAGACTGTAACGCATTGTCTCTTTCCTGCGATTGTCCTGACTTGCCACAGGACTCTGATACTATACACATGGAAGAATAAGCACAGGAGTCACAGTTCATACACAGGCAGAGAATAATTATCTGTCTTACCAGCAACGCTGAGCGAGAATTGAAAGAGGAAGTTCATCTCTGTGAGGAGGAAGTGAGGAGGTGAAGTCAGAAGGTTACAGAACCTGAATTGGAAACCCGTAAGAGAAATCTTGAAAGGTCTCTACTCCTACATGTCTGAAATGCATGCACATGTGTACATGTGTGACATAAAGTCAGGAGCACAAATCTCTGAAGAGTATGCGTCCCAGTGATTATCATCATGAAAAGCACAGAAACTAGAGAACCTGAACCTGAAGTGTGGTCCACTGAAGCTCGCTGAGAAAAATCACTTCTTCACCACACATAACCTCTGTGCAGATAATCATTGAGGTTTTGCAAATGAAGCAGCATGAATGAGAAACTGACATTTCCTTTAGGTAGCACTGAAAGAGAGCGAGAGTGAATGAACCTCTATTTCAGACACACATGACTGAATTGGTTTGCCCACGCAAAGCCAAAAATAGAGCGCTGGTGGTCGACCAAGTCAAACACGAGAGGAAACCGGACAGTTTCATGTGTGTCCCGTGTCAGAAAGCACTAACGTCTTGTCAGATGCCCACGACAGGAGTGTGTCATATGCTACGCATCGCAAAGTTGAAACAGAATGAGGAAACGATGCTCAAAGTCGTTTTTATATTAAGAGGTGCAGCTGACAGGTGTCAAGTTTTCACAAGACCAAAATAACCCAGCCATGTTTGACATAAAAAATGGCATTTGCACAGATCTTAACATTTGAAGCCATAGCCTGACAATACTGTTGTTATTCCTTTATTCAGTAGAGTAACTACATCATTAAGAGGCTATTGGGATTCCTGACCTGATGAATCTCTCGGATGAAGTTTCCTCTGATTACATCAAAGCTGCACCATCAATAGTGTCATTAGCTATGCATCAGTAAATCTTTCGGCTCATTATTTTCCTTTTAGAGCCTCATTTGATGCAGTTGAGTCAGTTCACAGGCATTAACACAGAGTAGAGACCATATGTAGACCTTTGTATATTGTGTTTTGTGCGTTTTAGCAAATTAGGTAAACTTTAAGTACTAATGCATGGAGGTGGTGAGATAATCTGTAACCACAACTGTCCACAATCACACAGTTTTATAGCCAAGCAATTGACTAATAATGAAGTGGACAGATATTTCAGAAGCAATGAGCTAGGCTAGCAGCTTCAGTCTGGAAGGCCTTGTTCAGCAGCTCATGGGCCTTTGAGAATAGATGACAAGTGGATGGGGAATGAAAACAAGAACTAACTGGTGTGTAGGGCAGGAAAGACTTTATATCATAGTTTGAAATCTAAAAAAATTAACAAGACAAGGGAAGCACCACAGCAGGGAATCCAACAAAGACTACAGACACAACAGGACCATTTATACAAAGAAGGGTAATCAGGGAAAGAAATACGAGGGTCATGGCAAAGCATAATCAGGGACATTGCATAAAAAGCAAAAGCCTGTCTTATTTTGGTAGTTCATTGTTCACACTGTCTTGTGTTTTCCCTCCCTGCTCTGATTCTCTTAATATGACCCCCTGTGTGCCTTTATCGCCAGTCGTTCCCACTTCCCTCGTTACCCAGAACCCAAAAGGATCACAAGCCCCTGGAACAATCATGAATGCAACTAGAAATAAAACCCATCCACCCATTAAATAAGAATACACAATTCTAAATTAGGCACAGAACCCAGGGGCTACGTCAATTTGAGGTTACTATACCGACTTCCTGACTTTGTTGTGTCCTAACTGCAAACATGCTAGCTGTGCGCTAGCTAACTAGCTAAACTATGGATGGACGGATTTCTGTTTTGTTTCTCAGACATCAGGGACAGATGTTTTCCTCTGCTCATAGTTTTCCTCTCATCTTTGGAAAGCTAGGATGATATGAGTGCAGCAGTTTCGTTTCTTTTTGCTGGTTTGTGTTCTGTCGTACAGGAACAGAGAAAAACCATTACAGTGAGCTATGTATATATTATCTATTACATATTTTTATGATTCATTTGGTTGCACATTTGCGTATCATAGGGCACTGCCCTGTTGGCCAAGCACCTACTGCCCTTCAATATGAAGCCTTCTGGAAAGGAGTTTTGTTTTCCTTCTCTCTTTCCACAGAAGCACATGTTTGCGAAAAAAACAAAACAAGTTTCAGTGCCTCATGTTGTTGGGCTGGTCCTTTTCTCTTTCCGAAACTAAACTCTGACGTGACCTTTGACTAAAGAGGACGAGCAGGAGACCTTGGTGGGAAGAAGACAGTCACGCAGTGTTGAGAATAGACAGTGAAAAGAACAGGAAGGCTGTGACTGACATGATAATAGTTAATATAGTATGTGTGAGTGTGTGTGTTTGTGTAGACATGCAGTAAGTAACACATAGACCTCAAAGCTGCAGATAAAACTGTCTGGCCAGAGAGACTCATGTGTCTAGAAATGGTGCAAACACACCCACACACATACACAACTGGTGTCATGTCTGGTAGAGTAAAGCCTCTAGATGTTTCTGCTGTCTGTTGATCATTCACAGCATCTTAACTTCGATGCTTTTGGTGTCACATAACCTGCAGCAGAGCGCTCACTGTTGAACTTGTCATTTTTCTCCATTTTACGGTGAGAAAACTCACAGAAGTTGATCTGAAACTGTGAAGTGAAGTCTGATAAAGCCTTTCAGTATGAGGCTACCACACACACACACATACATACAAGACAACAATGTACACAACAAGGGACAAATGGTGGAATCCATGCAG